TGTCTGTACAGACCAGATTAAAGGCAAAACATGGTTTCCTGGTGTTTTACAGCCATTTCCGGGCATAGCTGCTCCTGCTCTACCAGCAATATGCATGAGCACAACTCTAAGAGGGGTTCGGTTTGTCACAGGTTCCAGGAATCCAGACTGAGGCTCCCCTTTCCCAGTGCACCCGCCCCCTGGGATGACAGCGACGCAGGGTACAGCCAGTGAAGTTAATCTGGGCAGGCCCATCTGCCCTAGGAAACTCCATCCTTTCCTTGCATAGCAGTAGCAGCGGCTAACTCAAAGCGGGTCTGTGTAGGGCAGGACAGCATCGTCTGTGCATGGCAGTGCAAAGCACGAGGTGTTGATCTGCTGACTCCACACTGACACTGGCTGGAAGTGAGGAGGCCAGAGCTGGATATGGCTCGCTTCATTCTTGGCTGTAATATCCTCCGAGCTACCAAGCACAACGTGCGGAAGATGGAATCTGCCCAGCCAGGGAAGAGGCACGGAAGAGGTGCAGCTGGAAGGTGTTGCCTGTCTCTCCCTCAGCAAGCTGGAGAACTGAGTAGCTTCGGCAGGTGCTTTGAGCTAACGAAGCGGCGCTGCCAGCGCCCTTCCCGCGGGGCTCCAGGAGAGAGCAGCACTCGCGTTCCTGCCCAGTCCCTCCCCAGGGAGGCCCCAACTGCCTGCACGGCAAAGAGGTGAACAGCAGATATGGAACCGCTGACAGGAAGGACCTGCCATTGTCTGCACCAGCCCTTTGTAACGGCCTTACCCCAGTGCACGAATGACTAGGTTCTGGTGGCGGACTGGCCTGCGGTGAGCAGCCAGCTGGGACAGTACTTTGCCCAGCAGTGGGGTCTTTCATCTAAGGCTTCACCAGCAAGCACTGATTAGACCTTGCAGTGCGAGCTTGGGAGGGATACACGAGGACCGGTCTGCCTACCCTGGGGTGCACAGCATGACAGGGAGTGGAGGGCTCTTGGCCAGGTGGTGACCAGCTGTGGGGAATATCCTTGAGTGCTTACACACCGGGAGCTTAGTCTGGTTCCTTACGTCAGGTCTGGGCTAGTCCTGGTGCTACATCCCCGGCTGTGTCTCTGGGAGTTAGGAGAGGATTTTGAGAGACAGCCTTCATGTATGGGACCAGAACTGAGCCACCGAGAGAGAGGCGAATGCTACGGAGGGGGCTCTCCGCTGCCCAAACAGGCGGTGCCGCTCCTCTGAGCAATGACCAGCTTGCAAGGGTGAAGGCTGGGCAGTGAGCAGGTGCTTCCCAAAGCAGAGAGAGACAAGTCTAGAGAAAAGAGAAGGGAGGGAGAGACCCAAAGATCCAAGGGAGGGGGAGGAGAGGGTAGAGAAGCAGCTCCGGGGTGGTTTGAGCAGGCAGCTGGGAGTCAGCGCAGAGGCCTGTGAGTCCTCAGAGCGCATCTCCTCACCCCTCATTGGCAGCCCAGTTCCTCCCCGCAGACAGACTATGCTGCTCCCCCGCTCCATGATTTCCCCAGCCCACGTGGAAAAGCTCATCTGGGGGTGGGGGGGAGGGAGCAGGCCCCAGGCTCCCAATAGCACTTCCAGCCCCGCCAGCCAGAGCCAGCGGTATTGTTAGGCAAATGGCAGGTGCAGGGCAAACATGCAAACGAGGCCGCTGAGAGTCCTTCTGATCAATTAGCTACTCTGGCTTCCCCGTGCTTTTATCGCTGCTCTGCATCAAACAGCCCCTGGCCCCCAGCAGCGCAGAGACAGAGACAGGGCCACACACGCCCCGACTCAACAGGCTGAGGATTGCCAGCATTGGAGCCTCTGGCCTACCCCTCCCCCTCCCTGTCTGTCTGTCCATCCATCAGGTACTTCCACGGGCGCCCTACCATAGTGCCAGAGTATCTCGCAGTACCCCCACGGCCAGTGCTGTGCTCCCTGCACCCCATGCTCTTCTCTCTCCCCTCCCTGTTCTCTCCCTGAGGTGGGATTGTTTGGCCCAGCACCTGGCGCTGCGGGGTCCCGATCTGACAGGCTCCTGGCAATGCAGCTAACCCATAACCATTGCCTCTCCCTCCACACAGGTAGGTCTCACCATCATCTTGGTTACTGGGCAGCTGCCTCTCTGGCCTGGACAAATGCAGTCTGGCCTGCTGAGAGCCATGCAGAGATAGTTTCCCCAGCCTGTCCCTCTCTCCATGTCACTTCGCTCTCACACCCCAAGTGAGCTGCTGGTCTTTGCTTTCCAGGCCCTTCCCCACCTCTCCCCAGCTTCCTATCCTCTCTTATTCACAGCTGAGCTTTTGAAGCTCGCCTCTGATTGGCCCATAACACCAGCCTCCAGTGCCCACTTGTTACATTCTCAAACAAGCCACTGTGTACTTTCTCCTGCGCTGCCCCTCACGACACCCCCAGAGCCACTTCTGCACCCACCTTCCAATCCCTCTGCCAAACTCTCCTTTGCTGTGATGAGTACAAAGATCTGGACAATGGTTCGGCTACTGGGGTGCAGAGCCCACGGCCTGGCATGCTGACCAGCACTGTCTCACTGTTCACTTGTGCTCCCGTCTGCCTGGCTGTCTCCCTCTGGTGTCTCTTGGCTTATACGCGGGTTGGGAGCTCCTTGTGGCAGGGACTGTCTTTTTGTTCTGTGTTTGTCCAGCTCCTAGCGCCACAGTAATAATACAGCAGAGGTGGGTGGCCACTTCCAGAAAAGGTTTTCAGGTAATGAGAGGCCAGAGACTCCTCAGCCATGGAGGGAGGCTGGGAAATGACCTCTCAGCTGAACGGCAGATGGGGCCAATGCCAGCGAGTTTTGCCCCTCCCCGGTCAATGCCACGCAGCTGGTCTTAAAGAGATGCCTGCAGGGAATTTTTATCTCCACCGTCTTACAAACATGTCCCATGCACCCAGCTGTGCTCATCTGCCTATTCCCTTCCCCCTTCTTTCCACCGCTCAGTCAGTTTCCTAGGGCTCCCTTAGTTGCTGAGGGCCCTCAGGCGGCAGCCCTGCCTCAGTTGCCCTACGTGTAGGGGCATGAGATTGTGAAAGTCTTGAAGGGAGCTGGATCGAGGGTAGAGCCTCTGCCCCCTGACTCACCCCTTGTCACTGCTTGGACAGAGAGGGTGCTAACGGGGGAGCAGAGGGGTACGAATTGGCAGCAAGAACGAAACGGGTTCAAAGAGACAGCAAATAGAGAGCAGGGCGCCAGCAGAGGCAGCTGATGTGCATGGAGTCAAGGGAAAATCAGCAGCTAGATCCCCCATCTGTGCCCACAAAGTGCTCAGTGCTTAAGTGCTGCCTGGCAAGCTGTGGCACTGTGGGTGTCTGACTCACCCCGAGGACAGCCTGCCTCTCCAAACCTGTCACCGTCAGACTGAGGCTCCGGGAAAGCCGCTGAGCTCAGCCCCAAGTGCTAATTCCCACTTGGAAGGGTTTAATTAGGAACCTCCATGGACAGATCTTTGCCATGCTGGGGGAGGCTGGGGAAATGCCAGTCATGCCCTGCAAGATGCCAGCAGCTGTCAGTACCCCTTCCCGTGTCATGACTAACATGATCCTGCTGTCAAGCCACGTCTCTGTTCTGGCCCCAGAACAACGCGGAGAGCATTTGTGACCCCGTAACCTCCCTGTGCCTGTGGGTGGCCTGGCGGGGTTGTGAAATGAATAGTCCGGAAGGAGACGTATCCCTGCATCCCCCCCAGGCTAGAAGTGCACTCGCTGCCCCACATTCACACCTTGTACGGGGCCGTCTCCACAGCAAGCTCGAGTCCCAGCGAGACGCTCGCCCAGAGCTGCTGTGTAACTGTGTTGTCATGACAGTTGCTATCAGCGAAGCTAGAGCAAGAGCCCAGGCCTTGGGGCTTGGCAAGTTATTTTGCACCTTCTGTGTGTCCAGCAGCTCCCCCTGCACTATTCCACAGGAGACTGCGCCCAGCAGAATAGGGCTGGGCCCAGCCATCTGAGCCAGCCCGGCCTTCGCTGGTGAGCTGAATGACCCCAGCTGCCCGCACCGCTCCTCCAGATACAGTTTAGGACACTGGAGACCAGTCTCCCCTTGTAACACTTGTGTGACTTGGAGGATAGGCTCTGTCCATTGGTCAAACCCTGACTGGGAGGATCCGTTGAGTGGGGGTCTGTCGTCCTGCCAAGGACTGCCGGGGAGCCTGGCACAGCAGAATGGGGCTGCTGGTGAGAACGGAGAGGGCTGCATGCACACAGCCTCCCTGGACAGCAGCAGCGAAGCCTGGCCAGGCAGCCCTCCGCTGGGTACTTTAGGAAGGCGCTGCCCACAGAAACCTGGGTTCCCATTTTCAGGAAGCCATTGATTTATTTTCACTGGCCTGGCCTGGGCTGGGCCAGCTGGTAAGTATTCCTGGACCCCACGATCCCAGGGCGGGCAGGGGTGTTGGATAGCTAGCTCTCTGTCCTTTCACAGCACCACACCCAAATCCCGTGGGTTTGCTCACATGGCACCCGCAAAGCACGCTCACACACAAAATCCTTGGCTCCTGCATCCTGCTCCCTCGCTACATCTACATGGCGAAGAGAACCCCACGGCAGTGAGTCCCAGAGCCCAGGTCAGCTGACTCAGGCTCATGCTACGGGGCTGAACTTAGCAGTGGAGACCTTCCCGCTCGGGCTCTGAGACCCTCCCCCATTGCTGGGTGCCAGCCCAAGCAGGAACGTTACCCCGTAGTGAAAACCCGAGTCAGCTGACACAGGCCCTGCGACTTGCTGCCCCTGGGTTTTGGTTTATAGTGCAGATGTACCCCAGAGGCTCTAGGGGTACCTGCCTTAGGGAGGGAGAGCTCTGTATGGAGCCCACATCATTGATTCAGCCCTTCATCTCTGGGAAACCTTAGAATTGCCAAGCCACTGAGCCCCTCTCCAGGGCTGTAAACACCTGTGGGAAGAAGGGAAGAGTACCATCTCCTCCTCTTCATGCCCTGTGCTGAGGGCATGCACACCACTCACTGCTCCAAGGAGAAGCCTCGTTAATCCAACACCCCCCCAGCCCACCCCCAGCTTACCTCTCACAGACACGGACTGTCCAGGCGGCAATGATCCACAGGGAGATGCTGAAGACCAGCAGCACTGTGCCGGGGCAGATGGTCATGAGAGTCTTCATGACGAAGCGGGTGTTGAAGTTGATTTTGTTGAGTGCCCCAATGCTGCGTGACGAGGCGTCAGTGAAGAGCTTGCTGTGCAGCAGCATGACCCGGGCAATCAGGTACAGGCGGAGGAACATGGGGATGGAGAGGATGATGTCCACATCAGCCTCTGCCCTCGAGGGTGTGTAGGAGAAGGCCAGACGTGCTGTCCAGAAAAATTTGTACTCCCCAGGGATGGGGTGTATGGCACAAACCAGCATCTCCAGGCTGATGTAAAGGATGCGCTCATAAGTCATTGCTATCCGCCAGTCATCAGCGCCATTGTCGATCACGAAGAGCTAGCAGGATGGAAGGCACGTGATTAGAGAGAGCACCCGGTTAGCGACACGCTGCCTTCCTTCCCATGGGCTACCCTGCAGGGCCCAGCCCCAGGGAATGGAGACCGCAGGCAGAACGTGAGGGAATTCATACTGGCTACGGTACAGGGTCCAGAACCCCAATGTGAGCTCTGGGCCCTGCCCCAAAGCATTCACAGTCCAAAGAGCGGGATGGGAAAACAGAGGGGAGGCAGTTTGCCCAGCGGCGAAACAGGACCCAGGTGTCCTGACACTGTGTCCCATGCCCGAGCTGCCCCATTTAGGCACAGAGGCTTTCTTGGCTTGACTTGTAGCAGCTGCCCCCAGGAAGCCCCAGGACTCAGGTTCTAATCCTACCACTGACACCAACCTCCTGCTAATGCTTACTCAGGCAGGCAGTGCCGCGGGAATCGTGTAAGTCATAGCAGCACAGACGGGCAAGATCAGGCCCATAGCTTTTCATCGTCATCCTTGGGCACCTGTGGTGCGTGGAGGTAACTTGTGCTCACTTAGCCCTGCCTGATTCGAGCAGCAGTTGGGTGGGCAGCCACGCGTGTGCCGGACCCGGCTGAGCAGCCTGCGAGCAGAGCTCAGCAGCAGGGTCACTGCAGTCAATAAAGCAGGCTGGAAGAAGGGTCAGCAGGGAACCGGCTGAATTGCTGGACTCCAGCATGGGAGAGTGTTTATAAACTCCAGAGCAAGTTCAAGGTCCGGTTTCTCCTGGGGAGCCCACGGACTGGAACCGGCTTAGGTGAGGTTATTTATACCAGGACAGAACACTCTGGGGAAAAGCTTTCCCTCTCCAGCTCTCATCCCTGCATTTCTCTGTCTACCACCAGTTCACACAGGCACACTGCTAGGGGCGGAGGGTTCTCCAGCTGCTTTAAAAACTAAACAAACAAACAGAGCGGGGAGGCTCCACACCAGGGTGGTAGAAAGGCCTGTCTACACTAGCACAGGGGCTCAACCCCACAGCACAAGCCAGCTGAGTGCAGAGCAGCCCTAGTTCCAGCACTGCCAGCCGCACTGCCTTAGAACAAGGGAGGCCAGGCGCAGCGAGAGCCTGTGCAAGACAGCCGCATGGAGAGGGGGCCAGCAGCCCCAAGGCAGTTAGGTGAGCTGCATGCCAGGGCCAGACCGTTGCAGGCTGCCTTGAGGTGGCTACTGTCAGGCAGACCTTGGACTGGGCACAGGTGATGGCCACCTGCTGGGCTGCTTTGGTGCAAGGGAGTGGCTCATGCAGCTTTTCAGCTGGCCCCATTTGAAGAAGGGCAGCCCCTCTGTGCATGTGTCATGATGGGACTTGAGTAGCCACAGGCACCACCCAAACCCAGCAGTCCCAGTGGATGCTGCAGCAGGAACCACCAGATAAAAGCTCTGGGGATTAGCAGGGGCCGAACCAGAAAGAAATGGAGATTGTGGTCTGCGTCCTGCACCTTTGGCTTGCGAACGCAGGGACAGAGCGCTGTACCCGGAGTGCAGGGCCTGCCTCACCACTCTCAGGGCCCTTCTCCCCCAGCCTTTTGTGCCAGACGCTGGGCGTAGCAAGAGCCACCCCCTGCGTTGATGAGCTTGCTGTCTAAACAGAGCACGGGCAGGAGGGGAAACAGAATCCCAGGGAGGGCAGGTGACTTGCACAGGGCCACCCAGCAGGACAATGGCAGAGCCAGGAACAGAAGCCAGGTCTCCTGGCTCCCAGCCTTGTGCCTTATCTAGCCCATGGTGCCTCTCTAGAGTGCACAGCAGAGCCTGCAGGGGACCCAGGGCCAACCCGGGGCTGCAGAGCTCAGGCCGCCCCAGTGCTCTGCGTCAGCCAAGGAACTGCCTGAACTGCCTTAGTGCGGTGGGGCCTTCTCCAGCCCCCTTTGCTCTCAGCTGCCTCCCCTCCCAATTCATTTGTTGCTCACGCTTTGCCTTAGAATGGCCCAGCCCCCAGCTTCCATGCTGAGCATTGCACTGTCAATTAACATGACTGAATGGCCCTTAAAGGCCCCCTTGCTCCCAACTGCTGATGGAAGGCAAAATCAGAGCAACACAATGGGGCAGCCAGCTTTTCAACTGCAACATTAAACACCCAGGCACCCTGCTGTGAGGAAAGATCCCATCAGGTTCCCATGGCAACAGCAGGTTCATCCTGGGCCAAGCAGCGAGGAAGGACTGGCTAAGGAAGCAGGGTCTCCTTGGCTTTGAAGGTCAGGCTGGCTGCACTGGGGACACCACACTAGAACGCACCAGGGCTGGAGCCTGAAACCCTTGTTTATCTGCATAGCTCTTGCTCCCATGGGGGTTGAGAATCCTGGGTCCCAACGCTGCCTATGTGGGGCTCTGATGGGGCAGTGCATTATTGTATTCATTAAGCACTGACCATCACTCAACTCCATAAGACACGCAGAGGGAGACTTGGTTTCCACTCCACAGAGCTTACACTCAAACCACTTCTTCAGCTCCTTTTTGCTAAAGTAAAGCCCAGCTCTACCCCCGTCACAGCCTGGCTCAGCAGAGTTTTGAAAAGACGCTGAGGCTAGGAGTCCTAGGCATGACAGCCAGGCTGGCTGCTCGCTGCCAGGGCAGACCCTGCTCGCTGGGTCTCAGAGGACAGCATCGAAGGGGTTCCCAGACTGACAGAGCAAGGACAGCAGCAGCACAAAGCGATGGCTCTGGGCTCAGTCACAGGACAACCAAGCAGGAGTCTCCTCCAACCACTGACCCCGAGACTGGAGAACACACTAGAGAACAAACGGCACAGTGCCCAGGGCAGGGGGGAAGGGGATGGGAACTCCTCGGGCTTTTCCATCCCTGGTTTGTGATTCCTAGCAGCTCAGTGGGAGGGACGGGCACGCCAGGCGCCGTTAGTCCTGGACAAACGGCTCTCTAGCTTGGAGAGCTAGGCTTGCCAGAGACTCAAACTGGAGTCGTCATGTTCGCTGACGCATCACCCCCTCCCCTTTCACTTTAGTTACACAGATGTTCCATCACTGTGGGGAAGGGGGAGGGTGGGTGCTGAGCTCAGGGGCCTGGTAGGGTTGTCCCTCCTTTACCCCACTCTCACCAGCCACATAAGTAATTAGAGCCCCCAAAACGTGCAGTCTAAAGAAAGACACAGGGTCAGAGGGGAGCACGGAAGAGACTGTCCTGGGTCCTGCAGCAGGCAGCTCCAAGACCAGATCTCAGGCCTCCTGGCCAATGGATTCCCTTGAGCAGATCCCGGAAGATACTGGCTCCCATGTGGCCAGGACCCCAGTCTCATTTCCCCACTTGCCCAGCCAGGGACAGCAAGCTGCTCTGAGCAGCTCTGCCTGGGGCTGGGTGTGAGCATCCGTCTTGGGCGAACAAACCCACAGGCTGACTCAGTCAGCTACTTGGCCTCTCTGCCCTGGTCTCTTTGGAAAGCTCCGCAGCTTGTAGCTGCTTTGTGTAAGCAATTGTTCATAAAAATGCTCCAAACTGTCAGGACGCTGCTCGAGGTGGTAGCAGCTGACAGTCCATTCCTCCCTGCGAAGAGTATGACAAACAGCAAAGGAAATAACCCAAAAGCTGTTTGCCTCCTGGGGTGGGTGGGGTGATTTCGTGTTTGTTGGTTGTAATCTTACCCCACCAGCAGGGAAGCGAAAAGGGGTTGTGTGTGTGGTTTTTTAAAGCTTTTGCCTTTGTAAAGTTCTCTCCAGCATGCAGGCTAGGAGTGCACCGTCGCTACTAGGATTTCCATGGAAACCACATCCAAAATCCAGTAATATCCAAATAGGCTTCCCCAAGATTGCCAGTAGGGAAAGGCGCGAGCGCACTTGCCACAGTGGCTAGGAAACAACGATGCAGCTGGAGAACAGGGAAGGAAGAAACCCGGGGAAGGAAGAAACCAAGACACTCATGCCTCTGTTAAGAAGCATGGGCCTGCAACCATTGGTGTGGGAGAAGTTCCAGTTGGGGCTGCATCCCAGGCACCCGCTCTGGCGTTTGCTGCCACTTCCCGCGTGCCCTCTTATAGCTGGGGATTCAAGCACGCTGCAGAGTGTCACAGGAGCGCACACCTGGCTCCTACAGGACTCATCAAGGGATGACTTTTCCTTAGTGCTCGGGGCAAGGCTGTTGAGAGGAGCCTGATCTAAGGCTCTGCTTCGGCCCTTGACTTCACTCTCAGGGAGGAGGGGCCATCGGCATGGGCAGCTGGGCACATCCTTTCAAGCCGACATTGCAGTGCATGCGTCTGCATAAAGCTGGGACTTTCAGGACAACAACAGCTGTTGTACACCCCAGCCAGGGTGTCTGCCTCCTTCAGAGCTTCCTGCACACTGCCCTCCAGCTCTGCCAGGGCACAGGCAGTTCCTTCTGGGCAGCCGGGAGCCAGCTCCGGGGGCTCTGACCTTCAGAGTGTTTTACACCTAAATCAGTCACAGCCAAGCCCTTTCCGAAAGCCAGCCCTGCCACACGCCTGCTCGCCTTCCGCACAACATGCGGCGGGCTGAGCCTGTGAGGAAGAAGTGACGCTTGCTCCACAGGCACCAGCTTTAGAGCAGACAATTCATGTGCTGAGGGGCTGGATCCTGCTTGGTTAAAGTCAAGGGGAGCAGAATAGGGCCTGTAGGTTCTGTGTGCTGTGGGGATCAGTCCTGATTTCAGCTGTCTGTGGCCACACCCATACAAGCCCTCCGTGCAGAGATAACTGCTATGAGCTTGATTTGGTAGGTGCCAGTTACCCTGGTTTCAAGCAGGGTTCAGCTCCACAGCTGCGGAGCCTGCGCTGGTGCAGCTGTGCATTGGGCCAGGCCGCAGAGAATGCACCTGCTGCTTTAAGCACTCCCAGTTCTGCAAAACCCTCCAGCAGATGCTTAATTTTAAACACGAGTGCACGGCTGAATCTGCTCCCCAGTTCCAGGTTAGCTCTCTCGCTTAGTCTGCTGGAGGAGGCAAAGCAGGATGGGGTTCAAAGGCACAAAGGACAGTTCGGCACCCAGCTCTCCCCCACGTGCACCTTTGAAAATCTCCTC